TCCAGAATTGAACTCGGGACCCTGCAGTCTGCAGGTCTGCTGCGCCAAGCCGGCTAGGGGCACTTCCCTCTTCTTTCAGTGCAGGCTGGACTTAAGAAATTCTACAAAAGACTTGTCCTCTTCAAAACTCTCAAGTTTATGAAAAACTAGAGAAGACTGAAAACTGTCATGTGTTATGAAGACTCAATGTAATCTGTTATCCAGAATTAGATCAGGGAAGTGAAAAAGGATATGGGTGTCAAGACAGATTAAGCACAAATAAAGTTTAAAGTTTAGCTCACAGTATTGTTACCAATATTAATGTTGCAGTTTTGACAAATGTATCGTGGTTATGTATGATGTTAATTTTGGCCCTAGCCGGTTTGGCTCAGTGGATAGAGCATCAGCCTGCGAACTGAAGGGTCCTGGGTTCAATTCCAATCCAGGGCACATGTCCGGGTTGCGTGCTCGATCAATGATTCTCTCTCATCATTGATGTTTCTATCTCTCTCCCTCTCTCTTCCTCCCTGAAATATATATATATTAAAAAGATGTTAACTTTGGGGAAACTGGATGAAAGGTATACAGGAACTCTCCATACTAAATTTCCGACTTTTCTGTAAATCTAAAATTATTCCAAAACTAAAAGTTTGTTTAAAAAGTTGAAATGTAAAAATAAAATTGTAAGAAGTCCTAAAAGGAATAAACAAAATAAAGCAAAGGAGTCCGAGGGCAGGTGGAGTTGTGACTCTTCTAAAGGAAACTCTTCTAAAGGGTTCCTATTGATTTGTGAACCCCTCATCAGGCCTTATTTCCCAAATGGATATGCTCAAGAGATGAAAATAAAATGCAGTTAACTGTTTATCCTCCAAGGAGCTTGAGAGCCCTGCAGAAATTTTGTGGAGTATCTCAGCTAAGACTGCCAAGGGGCAACACTTTAGAACAGTGGCCTAGAAGGTGATTCTTGTCCACAGGAACTAGGTGTAGATATCTATGTTTAAACTATTTTGAGTTTGTTGAACTTCTTTTTTAAAATATATTTTTATTGATTTCAGAAAAGAAGGAAGAGGGAGAGAGAGAGATAGAAACATCAATGATGAGAGAGAATCATTGATCGGCTGCTTCCTATTCGCCCCACACTGGGGATCGAGCCCACAACCTGGGCATATGCCTGACTAGGAATCAAACCATGACCTCCTGGTTCATAGGTCTCTGCTCAACCATTGAGTCATGCCTGCCGGCCGGGGCTTTGTTGCACTTTTTAAGTACACATATTACATCTTTTTTTCAAATTTGAGGAGTTTTCAGCTATTAATTTTTTCTGCCTCTTTCTCTCTCTTCTCTTTCTGGGACTAATATTGCATTTTTTAAATTGGAGTATAATTGACATGTAATATTATATTAGTTTCAGTGTACATAATGATTCAACATTTTTATACACTGCAAAATGATCACCACAAAATCTAGTTACCTTCCATCACCATACAACAAAGTTATAGCATTTTTTTTCTTGTGATGAGAACTTTTAAGAGGGTGGAAAGGTAGAGATCAATGGGGGGGGGGGGGCCGGGGAAGGAGACTCATATAATACTTTAAACAATAAAGAATTTTAAAAAAAGATTTACTCTCTTAGCAATATTTAAATATGCAATGCAATATTATTGACTATAGTCACCATGCTGTGTATTACATCCCATGACTCATTTTTTAATTGGAAGTTTGTACCTCTTCATCCATTCGCCCACACCCAATCTCCTTCCCCATGTTGCATGTTTAATGGTTTCCTAAGGATCTCATTAGCATTCATTCATTTTTTTACATTCTTTTATATTTCTGTTCATCAATTGGGAAATCTCCACTGATCTATCTTCAGTTTTATCTTCTCCCTTTTTTCCTTCCTTCCACTAGCTCAGATCTGCTTTTGAACCTCTCTAATAAATTACCCATATCAATTACTGTACTTTTAAAACTCCAGATATTCTTATTGGTTCATATTTACAATATCAATTTATTTACTCATATTGTTTATTTTATGAGTCATGCAATTGCATTTTTAAATTCTTTAGATATGGTTTCTATTTGTGTTTTTTTATTTTTTTCCATCACTATTTATCCCCCTCTACACTCTTCCACCTCCACTCTCCCCATTTACCCACAATCACCCACTGTTGTCCATGTGGTTTCTATTAGTTTTAAAAACATATTTATAATACCTGTTTTGAAGTCCTTTTCTGCTAAATCCAACATCTTAGCCCCCTCAGAGAGCATTTCTATCAGCAAGTGTTTTTTGTTTTTTTCCCGGTGTATACATGCACACTTATAAGGCATACTTTCCTATTTCTTTGCCTGCAATATTGAAAAATTGGCATTGTAGATCATATACCAACTTTGGATTCTGTTCCCACCTTGTGGATCGTTGTGGTTGCTAGATTTCTGTTGGTTTATTTGTTTAGTGACTTACCTGGATTAATTCTGTAGAGTATTAGAATCAGTGTGTGTGTGACTGCTGTCACCTTGTTGCCTAGAGCTTGGAATTCCATCCCTACATCCTTGTTACCTCCCTACATTGTCCCTATCCCAACTAGAGAATATGGGGAGCTTTATGGAAAAGATGAGGCAAGAGAAAGAGATTCACTAAATTTGTATATAATGTCCTGGCAAACCTCTAAGAGATGCATGTATGAAAATGACCAGAACCAACACAGGCAAAAGGTTTAAGAACTGAACTACAGCACTGAGTACCAGACCGGTTTCAAAATTGACGCAAGTGAGGGAGACCAGAACTGCACTGCAAAGGCTTTGGAAGCTAAATTCATAGCTGAGCTACAGCCCCACCAACAGTAGGCCAGAGTGCATGTTACAAACCAACACAGGTTGACCACTTACTAAAATGGAAGCATGTCATATAATACCCAAAATGTCTGAAGTACAGTATAAAATAGCATAATTGTGGGTGTTTTTTTTCTTGTCGACCCACAGTTTTGCCTTGTTGGTGTTCCCAGCTAGAAATCTTCCACTCAGTAATTTCTGCTGCATATATTGTTTCCATTTGTTATGGTTGAGAAAGATGTGTGGGAATGAAAGGCAGAGCCTGGGAATCGCTTCAGTGTGTGCAGATATCCACAGAAAAGAACACATTGTGTTTTACAAATAGTTCATTGCAGAGACTCAGAGCACCCTGAGGCAGGTGTAGAAGTGCGCATGGCTGGCCACTCCTGGGAGTGCAGTAGGCTGAGTGACTCATGAAGAATCGTGCACAGAGGCGGACCTTTTGTCCTGGGAAGATGCGTGTGATCTACTTTTTAGAAACACATGCCAAGGAATAGGGGTGGGAATCTGGCGAGTGGTCACTTACCGTAGGTGAGGGATTTCTCCTGAGATGTCCACTTTCGGACGTTAACACAATTATCCTCCTTCGAAGTCATATAAATGAACTCAAATACCCCTTCAGTTAACTTGATCCTCTGTAATGAAAGGCAGGCGTGTGACATGGGATTAAGGGGCATGGTGGTGTTTCCATCAGTTCAAGTGACTATAATAAAATAGCACAAACCAATTTATTTCTCACAGCTCTGCAAGCTGGAAAGTCCAAAATCAAAGTGGCAGTAGACTGGTATCCCGTGAGGACACACTTCCCGGTTTGCAGACCACTGCCTTGCTGCTGTATCCTCACTGGGAGGGGGAAAGAGAAAGCAAGCTCTCTGGGCTCTTCTTACAACACCACCAATCCCCTCAAGTGCACCCACCCTTATGACCTTTTGAACCTACTTACCTCCCAAAGTCCCCAGCTTATTAAGATAATATCATGTTTCCTCAAAAATTTATGGTAGAATATTCATCACAATTACACTAAAATGTAGACTTTTTTTTAGGTTTCCAATCAATGATCATAGTATAATCCCAATTTATTGAGATCTTCTTAGTTTCTTTCAGAAAAATCTTATAGTAACCTGGATATAGGTCTTGTGCATATATTGCTCACATTCCCACTAACTGTTTTTTGTTAGATATGTGATTCCCCGCCCCCCTCCCATCTGTGGCTTGTTTCTCATTCTTTTAGAAGTGCCTTGCAAAGAGCATACTTTTAAAAAATTTAATGAAGCCCAATGGAGCAAATTTTTCTGTTTTAGCCTTAGTGATTGTGCCTCAGGGTGTTTTTGCGAGGCTGCAACCAAGATGAAAATCAGAACTACAGTCATGTCAAGACTCAACTGCGGGAGGATCGCCTCCTAGCTAACTTACGTAATTGGCTCTTGATGATACTGTTCTAAAAACCTGGTTATTATTTAACAGAAAAGGAGAAAAGGGAAGACTAGACAATGTAGGCACGCCATTTATACAGCTTTGCCAGATCGCGGCCGATGGGCATTTTCTTCAGCCCACGGAACTCAGAAGGCTCTCAAGGCCACGCCCACCGGCTAACCGTCAGACAGGGACTTCCCATCTCTATAGCTCCGCCCACAGGGCCATGGCTTATTTGAAGGGAGGTCGGCTCGGTATTTTGCCCGTCTGGGCGAGCCCTGATCAGCCTGCACATTACCTTCGCAAACTCATTCCTCCGCGCCGTGAGGATGTTCACGGCTCGTGCTTCCCTTTTCTCCAGAGGCCACGAGCCCTTTGCTTGGCTGAATACAGAGACTTGCGAATACTTCCTATTTCTGAGAGGTCCGCCTTCTGCTTGAGCACCGAGTTCCATAGGCTGACCAGGTTACGCACGGCATTCCAATTGGAAGCGGCGGCTGTCCGTCAAACATCCTATTGGTCGGGTACTGTATCTACGGTTGTTTAGGCTGTGAACGTCCTGGAGCGAAAAAGGGAATTGGCTCGAGCTTTCGATTGGGCCCAGGAAACTGTCAGTCAAGGAATGGGCGGGTGCACTCGCAATCCAGCGCACATTATTGATAGAGAGGAGAGGCGGATACGGGGAGGGAGAGGGATGCCGGCTTCTCTTGATTGGGCCATACGGAGGGCCGTGCGCCCCGGTACTCCGGATTGGCTGACCGTGAGCCGCGCCCCCCTCACGCCAACAGCCTTCAGTACGAGAAGTGCGCCCGGCTCGCCTCGCGTAGCCGTGGAGCCAATTTGGTGCAAAGGCGTGCACAGGGGGCTCGCTGGGTTCCCAACCGGACCCGACGTAGACCCGGGAGTGGTGCGCTCCTTCTCAACGGTGAGCGAAGACCAGTGGGCAGCGGGAGAGGGGTCGGGCCGGCGGGCTGCGAATGAAGGTCTGCGGCACCAAGTTCCTTCAGAGCGTCGTCGCACCCGGAAGTGTGGCAAGACATCAGTCGCACCCGGAAGTGTGATGCTTCCGAGGCCATGGGAAGTAATGGTACCCGGCCAGTTGAGATACCGGGTTAAAACAGATGTTTATGTATCTTTAATTCCTGCGGCTCGGTAGATCCTCCCTTTTCGGCAAGTGTTGGAGGATGCAAGTATTTGGTCACATTTTTAAATGTCCCATCCGAGGGTAAACGAGCACTAGGAGCGTGGACAAGAGGGCTAAGCTCAGTAAAGGCTTTCAGGAAGTTTCTTTTGCTGCCCATCACCCTCACTTCCCCTGCCGTCCAGGGATGTGCAGATGGAGGCCGGAGGAGACGCTGCTGCCCCAGCCCCCGGGGACGCCGAGGACTTGGAGGACACGCGGCTCCCCAGTGAGGAGGCTGGAGACGGTGGAGGGGTCCAAGAGGACCCCACAGATTCCGAGGACCGGAGCCTGGAGGAAACAGGTATGTCTTTTCCTCACCACAAATTCCAAAGAATGTATAGGGGTGTCATTGTTGAGGGAGGTCCATGAGGGACCAGTAACGAGCCTTTTTGGGGCTTAACAGGGTTGCATGTGGTCAGTAAGAGGTCGTCGTTGACTCACATTGCAGTTTAAATCCTCGAGGAATGAAAAGGAGGAAATCAGTGAGCATTGGTGAATGTTCACTGGGGACTTGGGTTGAGTTAGGTCCTTGGGGTATCAAAAAGGGATTAGTTGGGGTCAAAGGGGGGCATTGGGGATTTAAGATGGTCAGGTCAATGACTGACCGAAAGGAAGTTAAGAGGGTCAGAGGTGGACTATTTAGAAATCAGTGTCTTTGGGGACTAGGGTGTCTGAGGTGGGGAAGAGGGTCAGTGGAAGCCCATGGGCACTCAGAGTATTTACCTCATTGAGGAGACAATGGTGAGTTGTTGGAGGTACTCTTTTAAGGAACCAGATGTTAGTGGCTACTAATGGCGATTATGGGTGGGGAGGCAGTGGACATCAGTGAGATTATTTGGGGAGTTAGAGGACCAGTAGGAGAGCCTTTGAAAACCCAGGTGGATGTGTAAAGGTATTCTGTGGAGCGTCGATGGAAGTCATTGGGGGCATTGCTCATTGATCACGTTGGAAGGAGCAGTGGACATCTCTAAGATTAAATGGTGGAGGGGGGCGGTCTTTGAGAACTTGGGAATTGTTAGCAAGTAGTGGCAGATATTGGGAGGAGGTCGTTGGTAATTGGGAGCAAGTAGAGTCATAGAATGTCAGTGAGAGAATGAAGGAATATGAGGTCATGGGGATTTCATGGGAAAATTGTTGAGACATAGTTGCCAGTGGGTAATAATGGTTGTCCTTGGGGGAAATCAATGGACATTGACTGGATTAATAGGAGGTGTGTCAGGGGAGTCAGTAGGGGGCATTGAAGTGGTGGGTTTCATTGGTGATTGTTAATAATAATCATGGGGAAGGGCAGTGGAGGTCATATTCATAGAAGTCCTGTGTTTTAGTGTATATTATGGTGGTTATTGTAGGGAGCGGGGTGGATACCACTGAGAATAAAGGGAGATCAAGAGAGTCAGTGGAGGTCATTGAAGTCCTAGGTGTTAGTGGAGATTAATAGTGATCATTGGAGAGAAGGGAATAAGAGAGGGTTAGGGGAGTCAACAGAGATCACTGGAAGTCTTGGATGTTAGTGGACATTAATAGTGGTCATGGTAGGGATGGAATGGACATGGAGTAGAATAGATTGTGGGTCAGAGCAGTCAGTGAAGGTCATTGAGGACCCAGGTATTAGTGATGTTAATGTGGGGTCATTGAAATGGTAATGAACAGCAGTGGGAGTAAATAGAGGGGATTAAGGATCTGGGTGTTAGTGGATATTCATGCAGTCATTGGGAGAATCAGTGGTCATCATCAAGAATATAAATGGTGCTCAAGAGAGTCAATAAGGTCATTAGGGATCAGTGGACATCAGTGAGAATAACTAAGGGATTAAGGTAGTGGGGACAAGGAGCAGTGAAAAACCCAAATATTAATAGATGTAATGGTATCAGGAGAATGAGGGGTCAGAGGTTATTAATGGGGGATCATTGAAGATGTAAGTTATTCAGGAAATGGGGTGCTTTGAAGACTTAGAAATGGCAGTTATTGAAAGGGGAATAATTGGTCTTTAGGACATAAGAGGGTTCAATTATGACAATGAGAGATTGGATTATTGGGGTTTTAAGGGCATCATGTGGATGTAATTGAGGGGCAGAGAAGATACCTGGAGTTCTGTGTCAGCATCAGGGGTCATTGGGGGAGGGGGCTGGTAGGCATTTGGTGGGGCCTTGGGCACAGGGGGTTAGTGGGAGTCCACAGGCAGGTGACCCACCAGGGGCTCCCTTTCAGGATCCGAGACCAAGGACCAGCCACCCAGCCTGCTGTCACCACTGCCCCAGTCAGAGTCCCCTTCATGTACCCATGGGCTCTGGGATCCTGCAGCCTCTGAGAATAATGCCATGGATGACTCTGAGAGTGGCTCCGGGGGCCAGGGCGGAGATCCAAGTGACGAGGACTGGCGCAGCAAGCGAAAGCACGTGTTTGTACTGAGTGAGGCAGGCAAGCCCATCTACTCGAGGTACGGTAGTGTGGAGGCACTGTCGACTACCATGGGTGTGATGACAGCTCTCGTGTCTTTCGTGCAGAGTGCAGGAGATACCATCCGCGCCATCTATGCTGGTGAGCAAAGGGGCAGGAGGTGGAACTGGGGGCAGTGACTGTGAATATGAATATGGCTGTCTGGGTAGCTATAGGTCTGTCTGACTTCCGGGGGCACTGTCCAGCCAGCCAAGTGTGTGGGTCAGTGTGTGTGGTTGGCTTTCCAGTCCTGAAAGGGTGAGGGTTTGGTGTTGTATCCATCTGTCAGTTTGGCCTTCTGGGTTCTGAGTGATTAACTCCTGGGATGTAAGTGACTGGCTGGATACTTCCTTGTTTATCTGACAGCATGGTTGTGTGGCTGTGTGGCTGAGTTGGGTATCTTTCCGGCTGTGTCAGTCCTTGCTTCATCTTCCCCCACTTCATGTTATATGTCTAACCTGATTCTTTGACCATCCCATCGTGTCTCTACAAATGTTCAGTCTCCCCCAGATTGTCCTAACCCTAAGTCCGAGTGTCCACAGAGTGACCGCGCAAGCTTGGGCCAGAGGTGTGTGTTCAGGGAAAGGGGGGAAGAGCCTCACCTGATCCTCTCAGTCACCACCGACTCATCGCTACCCCCTGCCCATCCCTTCCCTCCCCCAGAGGACCACAAGCTGGTGTTCCTACAGCAGGGCCCACTGCTGCTGGTGGCTGTGTCAAGGACTCCTCAGTCAGCAGCCCAGCTGCGGGAGGAGCTTCTAGCTGTGCACGCACAGATCGTGAGTACACTGACCCGTGCAAGTGTGGCCCGCATCTTCGCCCGTAAGCAGAACTACGACCTCCGCCGCCTGCTAGCTGGCTCCGAGCGCACCCTAGACCGGCTTCTGGACAGTGTGGAGCGGGACCCAGGTGCCCTGCTCCTGGGTGCCGTGCGCTGTGTGCCCCTCACTCGCCCGCTGCGGGAAGCACTGGGTACACTGCTCCGACGTTGCACAGCACCTGGCCTGGCACTGTCCGTGCTGGCGGTGGGTGGTCAACTGGTGACAGCAGCCCAGGAGCGGAATGTGTTGGCTGAGTGCCGGCTGGACCCAGCTGACCTGCAATTGCTGCTCAACTGGGTCAGTGCACCTGCCTTTGCAGCAGGGGAAGCGTGGGCACCTGTGTGCCTGCCCCGCTTCAACCCAGATGGTTTCTTCTATGCCTATGTGGCCCGCCTGGACGCCATGCCTGTCTGCCTGCTGCTACTTGGCACTGACCCTGAGGCCTTCCATGACATGGCCACCTGCCGGCGCCTGGTGGAAGACGGCATGCACACGCTTGGTGCCATGCGTAACCTTGGGGAGGCTGCCAGTTTCTCTAATGCCCCATCAGCCACTACCCCATCCTACAGTGTGCAGGCTGTGGGAGCACCTGGCCTTCGGCACTTCCTCTATAAGCCACTGGACATCCCTGACCATCACCGCCAGCTGCCTCAGTTTACCAGGTGGGTCCTGATCCTTGGGCAATCTGCCAGGTGGGAAGGCTTATCTAACTGGAAGGTTCAGCATCTCATAGACATGTTTCAGGAAAGAAAGCCAGCCATGCTCTACAACAGCGGTCACCAGCTGGTAGTCCATGGACCACTGGTGGTCCATGAGGTCCGAAAGGTTGGCGACCGATGCTCTAGAACAGTGGTCGGCAAACTGCGGCTCGCGAGCCACATGCGGCTCTTTGGCCCCTTGAGTGTGGCTCTTCCTAAGCCTTAGGAGTACCCTAATTAAGTTAATAACAATGTACCTACCTATATAGTTTAAGTTTAAAAAAGTTGGCTCTCAAAAGAAATTTCAATCGTTGTACTGTTGATATTTGGCTCTGTTGACTAATGAGTTTGCCGACCACTGCTCTAGAATGATGGAATAGAACAGGTGTATAACTGATGAGGGAGGCTCAACTACCAATCTCAAGGAATCCCTTATTCTAATGGAAACTAAGGCCCCAGTATTCAAGGAATCCCATAGTTTGAGGGGAAAGCTGGGCCTCTGACCATAGAGATTCTTTAAGTCTAATGGGGAAGGCTTATTTAGCTCCTTAGCTTAATTGAACTCCTTAGACTGAGGGGAGATGGCCAGCCAAGAAAGCCCTAGACTGACCCTGTCGCCGGCCTCCCTCCCTCACTGCAGCCCTGAGCTAGAGGCCCCGTACAGCAGAGAAGAGGAACGGCAGCGTCTATCGGACCTATACCACCGCCTGCATGCTCGCCTCCATAGTAGCTCCCGGCCTCTGCGCCTCATTTACCACGTGGCTGAGAAGGAGACACTGCTGGCCTGGGTGAGTTGGGGAGAGGGCTCTTCAGGGGTTAATTCCCTGCTTCAGTTCTTTTTGCCTCCATTGTATCCCCCCAGCCATCACAAACTCCATCCATAGCTTTTGTATACCTTTGCTTTCAACACTGTCCCTGCCATTACACATGTGTCTTTGAAACCCATAAGGGTCAATCACAGTGTCTCCAAACCTCATTAACCCCATCATTCTGTTTGCTTTTCCCCCATTAGCAACCAGGACAGTGTCTTCAACTTTCAAGAGGCCCCATTAACAACCATCACTGTCTGCTGATTTCCTATATTCCCATTAGTCCCGCCCATGTGTCTTCAGGCACCAGTTCAGAACTCCTTGAATACCAAAGGCTTGGCTCCATGCTATGCCTCCTACCTGGCATATCCTTCCCTGCAGTCTTTCCAGGGCTTCTGTCCTCACTTTCTATGGGTGTATTAAATGTCATCTATTCTGGTCAAGGTGACCCCATAGGAAATGGCACCTTCCCCCCCGGGCTCTGCCATTCAGTGCACATTCGTTAAATAATGTATTGGGTACCTATTGAGTATCAGGCATTGTTCTAGGCCAGGGGCTTTTTTTATTTTTTTAAACTTTATTTCCAAGCAATTTTAGACTTACAAAGAAGTTGCAAAAATAGTAGAAAAAATTACTATAAATAGTTCCATCACCTAATTTCTCCAGATATTAACATAACCACAGTAACTTATCAAAATCAGGGAATTAACACCAGTATAATGATATCTAATCCACAGACTTCATTCAGATTTCACCAGTTGTCCCACTAACGTTTTTTTACTGGTCCAGAATCCAGTCCAGGATCACATGTTGGATTTATTTATTGTGTCTCCCTAGTGTCATTTATTCTGGAACAGTTCCTCAGTCTTTTTTGTCTTTCATAATCTTGGCACTTTTAAAGGGTGCCAGCCAGTTAGTTTGTAGAATGTCCCTCAACTTGGGTTTTCCTGGTATTTATCCTGACTAAATAGAGGCCATGCATTTTTCGAAAGAATATCACAGAAGTGATGTGTCCTTCTCTGCATCATATCAGGAGGCCCACAATGTCAGTTTGTCCTGTTGTTGATGATATTAGCCTTGATCACTTAGTTAAGGTGGTGTCTGTCAGATTTATCCACAGTAAGGTTAGTATTTCTCCCCTTTGTAATTAGTAAATAGCATGAGGTGATTATGTTACTGTTCTGTTTTTCATCATATTTTCACCCACTAATTTTAATATCCATTAATGATTCTTGCCTGCAATAGTTATTACTCTGGTGTTTATTACTAGACTGTCATTTTTCTAACCCTGTCATTCCTTCTGCAGTTATTGTTTGATATTCTATTGTCTTAGAGACCTTTTCCTCCTGTATTTGTTGAATTTTTAATTTTATATTAGTATGGTCTCATGGATTTTTCTTTAATTCAGTGGGCTAAAATCTTCTCTATCCTTTATTTTTCTTGTCTGTTATTTATTTCATTGCTCAAATTGTCTCTCACATAGCCAGTGGGAGCTGTGATGTAGGTACACTGTCCCTTGTGTCATTTGACATGTCTCCATCACTGCTGGAACACTTCTTAACTTTTTGGCACAAGATGTTCCAAGCTCATCTTGTACTTTCTCTGTGTCAGTCCATTTGTCCAAGTAGCCCTTGTACCTTTTAGTGAAGAATGGTGATTCAAAACCAAGATATGGTAGGCCCAGGATTTTAAATCGGGTGATTCGGGGATTACTCACCAAGGAGATGGCAGCTAAGTGGGGCAGGGAGGTAGTGGGCCATGTGGGTATCTGGAGGAAGAGTATAGCTGGCAGAGGGAAAGGGCTGTGCAAATGCTGTGAGGTGGGACTGAGCCTGGTTTATGGTTGAGGAAGAGCAAAAAGGCTAGAGTGGCTGGAACAGAGGAAGTGAGGGGAGAGCAGTGAGAAGTGGTGTGGAAAGAACTGGTGATCTCATGACATTACATCTCTCAGATTCGTGTGAGGATTAAATGGAATTAATCCTCTTATACTCAGGGTACAGATGATGAAGACATAGGTGTGTAGAGCTCAGAACAGGACCTTGTATACAACAATTGCTCATTAAAAAGCACTGTTGTTGTTAAACCCATTCTATAGGTGAGCATCACAGTCAGCATCACCCAGTTGAAGCCACTAGATCTAAACGATCCCTTGGTTCAACTGAACCTGGCCCACCCTTGGTTCAACTGAGAACCCCTGGCTCACCCATGACACAATAATATCAGCTTACCTGCTTTAGCCCAGTGACCAGACAGCATCAGGTGGAAGCTGCTGCCAGGTGCGTCTTCCAAACAGGAGATAGGCATGGGGCTCGGGTTGGATGGACAGGGTTAGGGATGACCAGTTCCAGCCCAACTGACTCTATCTCCTCTCAAACCCACAGGTGACCTCCAAATTTGAGCTCTATACCTGCCTCAGCCCCCTGGTGACCAAGGCAGGTGCCATCTTGGTAGTGACCAAACTCCTACGCTGGGTGAAGAAAGAGGAAGATCGGCTTTTCATTCGTTATCCACCCAAGTACTCGACACCTCCGGCAGCCTCATCTGCCTCTACGGACCAAGCTTCCCATAATGGCTTGTTCACTGGATCTTGAGCGGCAGAACCTCCCAGATTGGGCAGTGCTGGGAACAACTACCTTTGGCTCTTACCTACTATCTCCACCCTGCAAAGGGGGAGCTGGAAGGGGTGGGGTGGTTGATGGTGGTGTCTGTGGCTCGTCTCTCTCTCCCTGGACAATAGGGCAAGATCTAAGGGCTTGCCCTCGAATGAGAGATGACTGGACATAGGTCAGCAGGCTGCTTCCTCAGCCCCTCATGCATCTCCACCTATGGAGAAATCCTTAGGCTTCTTCCCTTCCCTCTGCCTCACTATCTCCACTTGGATGATGTTCCAGCCTCTGTCAGGGACTTTCTCCTCCAATACCTAGGCACCATGCCCTCTGTCCTGCATCTGGAGTCAGCCTCCTCGGTGGGCTCTTAGCCCTGAGTGTCCAGGGCTGGCCAAGGTCTCTGTGGGTGACCCATGGGACCAGCCTGTGCTGGAACTGACCTAAAGATACTTAAAAGAAAAGGTCTAAACCAGTCCCCACAGGGACATTCCTTCGCCCTTGTTGTACTTCATCTCCCTGTCAAAAGGGACCCCATCAGTGTTGGCTGCTGCTAATGTTAATGAGAAAGGTGGTCCTCGCAGTCTGTCTGTGAAACCCAGGGCAAAGCCCCCGACTTCACACAGAGATCCAGAACTTTTACGTAGGAGGTGCACTTAGCTTCTAAGGCTCCTTCTGCTCATTCGTGAAATAGAGATAACTGACCTCTCACCGGCTAAGTGAGCATTTGTGAATGAAAAGGGACTCGGACTCTTGTGTACCACCCCACGACACATGGACATTTGCCCCAGACTTTCTTACAACCTGCACTACACGAGCAACCTGGAGGGGGCGAGACCTTTCTAATTTGTATATGTACTCACAACACTTGGTCCCCAATCACTAAGACCCTAGTTCTAGCCTTGTTTTCTCTACGAACAGCCGCACGTCGCTGAGCCAGAGGCTCGCGGAAACTCCATTGCGCTCATTCTGGTCCAGTGAGCAGACTGCGCTGCACGCATGCGCGCTGCAGAGCCTTTCTGCCCTCGCGTGCTCCCCCTCCCCCCCATCAATTGTCGAAGGCGCATGCGCCTAACTCCTGCTGGGAAAATGGCGGCCAAGTTGGAGCCGCTGGCGGCCTCGGAGGAGGCGGAGGAGGGCGAGGGCGAGGGATGCGCGGGTAAGCCGGCCGCTCCGGCCAGGGCAGAGGGGAAGCCTCTGTCCCAGTCCAATAGAGAGAGATTGATAGCGGTTCCAAAAAAAAAGTAAAAATTTAGGCCTTTTATAACAAGGTAAATAATACTTCAGTATGCATCTCTTCAAGCAACGGATGGAGGTAGACATTCTCACAAAAACCACTCTGCTGCTGCTGCCACATCTGAGGAAATTCACAGTAACTCCCCATCCTCTGACACCCAGGCCGTTCACACGTTGTGTGGACTCTTAAATCCTAACCCCACAAACCGCTTTTCTCCAGGGCGTTGTGACAATGATGCCCACACCTTCGGGGGGTGGGGGGGGATTGCCGTCTAGAAAAGAAGAAAACCCCCCAAGACTGAACCGCCACTGTGCCGCCAGCATTCTCTAAACTATAGGAATGTTCGGAATGGACCACAGTACAGGAAATAGCATGATGCGTGCCCGTGTACCCGTCACTGTTTCAACAGCTGCCACCTTTCTGCCCTCCACTCACCCATAGCCCCCTTTCTGCAGCCTAAACCGCTGTGTTACTAAACATGGTTGCATTTTGTCCAGACCTGTCTGCAGACATCGACAATAACTTGTTTATTGTCCTAGGATGTCAGCGCCATGAGAACCATTCGTTGCTCTTTCCCCAAGGCCCAAACAATGCCTGCTTGGCACATAGTAGGTGCTCAATAATTTGTGTATTATATGAATAATGAAGTAACTAACATGGAGAGCTCTCTCAGATTAGGGCCACACATTGAATGCCAGCTTTCTACAAAGGACGGACAGAAATGAGACAGATGCCAATAGATCTCATTGAGCACTTACTGCAGCTGCCACCTACTACAAAGCTTTTAGTATCCACTTTCAAGTTTGTCACAATTGAAGTTACTTCATCAGCAAGGAGGAAATTTAAGAGCAGGTGATGTTACCATTTTTAGCCATTAAAATTGGCTTTATAAAAGGAGAGATGATATCTAATATTGATTACTCTGGGGGGAAAGGCCATCTTTTGTCTCACTTGGAGAGCTGACCAGTAAACGCTTAGCTGGATGTAGTTTGGCAGAACATTTTTAGCATCTAAAATGCTAGTCACTATATTCGGCCACCGGGCTTAGTAATCAGGAGAATATAGAGATACCTGGGCCAGAAAAAGTCATTAGGACGTTGTTGATGGAAGCCAAAAAAAAGGAGCAATTATGGAAATGGCTAAGCTTAGGTATATTCATGCATATTGTGGAATGCCTGTGTGTGGTGGACCTTTAAAATTTTTTGAGCAGCAGGAAAAAAATGGTTAAATTGCAATTTAATTTAAAATAATTAAAATGTAAAAGGATAAGACCATGATTTATTGGCACAGAATGAACTCTAAAAAGATATTTTTATGAGGAAAAAGTTTGGATTTTCAAAATAAAGTAGAAGCAATGTCAGCCATAGCCCTTTGTAGGTTGCACAGAAAAATATCTGAAGGCAAAAGGCCTCACTGATGACTCTTAATAAGGGACTTGGATCTTGGGGGCTGTGCAAAAGTGGAGGCATTTTTGTGATTGTTTTTCTTTTAGGAAACTGTAAGTAGCACTGTATAATTTTTTAAAAGATGAGAACGAGGGAAATTTGAATTGCATCCGAGAATCATATTAATATTGATTAATATTGGCATCTTGGTTTGGATGGTTATACTGTGGTTATCTGGTAGATTCCCCTTGAATAGAGTAAATATACACTGGAACATTAAGGAATAATGGGCCATGGTGCCTGCGATTTATGGTACAGAAACGCTCACAAATGGGAAACCTGATACAAGGCAAGTAGGAGCACTGTGGTCTATTTCTACAACTTTTATGTACATCTGAAATGATTTCAAAATAAAATGTTTAAAAGGGGCTCGTGTGTTATAAGCTGTTTTATAACATAGATTTTAAAAAACTTTTATCAAGTTGTTAGTTGGATTATTTAAAAGATTTACTGATCACCCATGATCTTACCCCAATGACTAGGACTAGAAGTGCAGGGGAGAGGAAAAACATAGATGGAGCTTTCACAAAAATGGCTGCAAAAGCCAGCTATAAAAGGCATGGGGACAGTCGGGGAAATCACATATGTTCTGGGTACTAGATGATATTAATGATCCAATGATTAGTGATAATTGTTAATATTGGTATAATTATAGGATTGGAGTCATCTAAGAAAATGTCTTCAAGTAGTGAAACTTAAGTATCTGGGGATGACATGTTACGAAGCCTGGGGCTTGCCTGGAAAAACATAGCTGAAGCAAATATTAAGGATTGTCAGATCTGGGCGATGAGTAAATCAGAGCTCATCACGGTATTCTCCTTACTTTTATGTGCATTTGGAAGTTTTCATAATGAACTATTTAAAAAACAATAACAAATACTTAACCTCATTATTAAAGTAGCTTTAATTTTTTGTTTAATTTCCAAATAGTAAGAGTATTTAAAACTGCTTAAAGTCTCAAGAGACTACATACCAGCCTATTAATACCAGAGAAAGGCACTGAGATTTGGGGCCAAGGAGAGAAGGGGAAGTTTCATTTTTAATTTCACATGTTTGTGTGGTGGTTGAATGTTTTTAGAATGTTACTTGGATAAGGAAGTAAAAATTAAAACAATACATAAAAGACATTTTACTAAAAGATCTGCATGTCTTCACCAAATGTTGGCAGTAATTACTTCTTGGGAAGGGGATTGACTTGGGGAAGGGGCTAATGGTGAGGGGAGACATATTTTTTACTCTATGTTCTTCATTTGTTTAATAAGTAATTTAAAAATTCAAATGCAAAATTAAATTAATGCATATAATTTGTAAAAGGTTTCAGGCAAGACTAAAATATGTAAAGAGAGTGAATACACCACCAAATATTTTAACAAAATTTAATAAATTCAGGTTACACGCCCCTGGTTCACAACATGATTTTTAATGGCTGCAAAGAATTTCATCCTACAAAAGTGCTATAATCAACTAAGGCATCTTTAGGTTGCTTCCATCTTTTAAGATTACAAACAATGAAACAATGTACATCTTGCCATCATCCTTAATTTTTTCCTTAAGATAGATTCCTAGAAGTGGAATTTCTGATCCCTCTAGATTGAGTAAGTTTTGGATATTTACTCTGTAGATATGACTTGTTACTATGAGGTTATACTGGATCAGGGTAGGCCCTGACCCAGTGTCTGGTGTCCTAATAAGAAGAGGGAATTTTGGACACAGAGATAGAATGCAAGGTGAAAACACAAACACACACAAAAGGAAGCCCCAGTTGATGGTACTTAGTTTTGGCAGCAAAAGAAGGAAAGCAACCTAAATATCCACTAGTAAGGGACCTCTCTTAAATTATGGTATATTTACTCTGTGGACCGCTATGCAGCCACTAAAAAGAATAAAAAGATCACCAGTATACACTGTCAAATGAAAAATACAAGCTGTGGAACATCATTTATGATAGGATACCACTTATATAGAAAGAGTGGCGATATGCTTGCATATGAATTGAATTATCTCTAAGCTTGTAACACTAGTGACTTCCGAGGAGGGAAATTGAGGAACTGGTGTCTGAGGGGAAGAGACTTTTCTGTTTATTGCTTTTTAGCTATCATGTGTGATTTGTGTGCTGCCTTTTATATTCTCTGCCCAGTTTTCCTTGGAGAGGGGTGAGTCATTGGGATTTGACCTTTTATCATTGATTTCAAAAGTTTAAGATGTCAATATATTTTTTTCTGTTATTTTGTTATTGTAATTCTAAAAGTAACATAGGCTCCTGCTAAAAATGTATAGAAGGCCCAGCTGGCATAGCTCAGTGGTTGAGTGTTGACCTAAGAACCAGAAGGTCACGGACATATGCTTGGGTTGCGGGGCTTGGTCCCCAGTGTGGGGCTTGCAGGAGGCAGCCAATCAATGATTCTCTTTCATCATTGATGTTTCTATCTCTCTCTCCCTCTCCCTTCTTCTCTGAAACCATTAAAAAAATATATTTTTAAAAAAATGTATAGAAGCATATATGGTGAAAGTGTGTTTGAATTAAGATCCAAATTAGGTATTCATTACAATTGATTGATATATGTCTCAAGTCTTTTTTTAAAAAAGTATATTTTTATTGATTTCAGAGAGGAAGAGAGAGATAGAAACATCAATGATGAGAGAGAATCATTGACTGGCTGCCTCCTGCACACCCCCACTGGGGATGGAGCCCAAAACCCAGGCATGTCCCCTTGACTGGAATCGAACCCAGGACCCTTCAGTCTGCAAGCCAACACTCTTTCCACTGAGCCAAACCAGCTAGGGCTGTCTCAAGTCTTTTAATCATAGTTTCCCCCTCTCCCTTTTTCTTCTTTGCAATTTACTTGTTGAAGAAACAAGATTGTCTTGTGGAATTTGCCAGAGTCTTATAATGCTGATCACATCACCATGATACAATTTAACATATTTTACTGCCCCTTGCACTTCCTCTGAATTGGCATTTAGATATGGAAACCTTAGTAAGATTTCTTTTTTTTTTAATTTGGTTGGCAAGAATCCTTCATATGTGCTGTTATGTTCTTCCATCAAAAAGCTCATAATACCCTGTTGTCTTTTTTTTATTGTTAGTCATTAATAACTATTTCCTAGACCCATAAATTCTTTAAGATTTGCAAATTGTGGCCTATAATGATTTTACAGAATTCATATGAAATCTCTCTGCCCTATTGCATTGGTTTGAACTTCATACTATTCTGAACAGCAGCAGCAAAAGTGCTTCCCCTTCTCTCATGCCTGTGTTGTATTAAGCCTTAATACAGGTTCTCAAACTTCCTAATGCCGCGACCCTTTAATACAGTTCCTCATGTTGTGGTGACCCCCAACCATAAAATTATTTTCGTTGCTACTTCATAACTGTAATTTTGCTACTGTTATGAATTGTAATGTAAATATTTGATATGCAGGATGTATTTTCATTGTTCGCGACCCACAGGTTGAGAACCGCTTATAATAAGGGATCTGTGGTGTCCTTTGACCTCAGGGAGAAGCTGACCATAAGGGTCCCCGATCCATCCAGCACACACCATGAACCTCAGGCACAAGGGGCCGGGTCCTGCCGAGGCCCTCCTCTTGCTGGAAGCCTCGCCCTCAGCCTGGCCTGGGTCCCAGCCCAGGGGTGTCTGTAGAACCCACTGGGGCTTCCTTCCTCCCTTCCCAGATAGGCCTTTCCGCAGTCCCCTCATTCTCACTGGATCCTGTAATTCTGGTTTTCATCTCCACAGGGCAGACCAAATCTTTGAAGACTGAGGACTTGCTGTCAATGGTGAAAAAGCTGCAGAAAGGTCCTGTGTCTCCTTGTATCTGAGGCTCCCCTGGGGTTTTGAGTCAGGCATGTGGCTCAAACCCAGCTCCCTCAGCTCACAACCTTGGAGAATTATCCCATGGCACTCTCTCCCTCTAACACAATTTATTCTTTGCACACACACACACACACACACACACACACACACACACCATCCATTTCCCTGACCCACAGGCCAGCAGTGACTATTTTTAAATTCTTGGGTATTTTTCTAGAGATTAAAAAAAAATACATTGGTGGGTGTGTGTTCTTTGTCTGCACTTTTTACATACAAATGGCAATACAAATAGCTTTGTGCCTTGCTTTGCTGTTGAAGGGGGCCTGGGAGCCCTCTATATCAGGGCTGGGCTAAATTCTGGCTGGATTGAAGGTTGGACACACCCCCTCCCCAGCCCATCCTCAGGTTAAATTCTACAGTGCATTGATCTGTTCCTAATAGAAGGGAACCTCCCCTTCCCCAGACCCTGTGGCTCCTGCAGAAGTGCACTGGGGCTCCTGCCTAGGCTAACATTAGAGAAATTGCAGGACTGGAGCTTTGTCAGCCATAATTAGCACCTTGGAAGCACCCACTGTGCTAGAAGTCACAGGAGCTGGAGTTGGTGGCCTCAGAAAATCCAGGGCTTGAGTTTATTAACTCCAGAGTGTTGGGGCTGGGGACCCAGCAAGGGCTGGGAAGCTTTTTGCCCCAGCTCTGTGCTGCTGATCTTGAAGCCAAAAGAGGGATGAGGAAGAAGGCTTCTCCATCCAAAACACTGATAACGGGGCTGTAAGAAGGTAGAGACGGCTACACTAAAGAGGCAGTGACCTCCCTGTCCCTAGATAATTTGGAAGCTGCCACCCACAAGATTAAAGCAGCACTTTCCCATTTTCTCTAATGGGACCCATACCAGGGTCTGGAAGAACAGAAGTGACAACTACCCTGCCAGGCTTTTAACAGGGTGGGGCAGGCAGGGGGTCTTCCCTGGCTCCCACCACGCTCAGAATTACAACTAGAAGCCCCCGGCATGGCCTTGGACACCTTCAGTGATCTGCACCCCCACTTCCCCCCACCTTGCCTCTTGCTGCTCCCCACTTGCTTACTAGATTCACACCTGCCACACCAGCCCCTTAGCCATTACTTTGGGCATCTGCCTCACTCTCTCTGCACTAGTCCATCTGCCTGGCAGGGTTCCTCCCTCCATACCCCACATCCCCACAAAACTGCAGGGCTCCCTTCCCTTTCTACATTTGGAGCCTTTTTCACATCTCAAGAAGCACCTTCTACGCTTTCACTCTCCAGCCCCTTGCTTCACTTTATTCCCCTTCACAGCAGTTACTGCCACCTACATTGATATATATCTTTGTTCAATGTCCATCTCTCCCACCCAGAATGCAAGCCCTGCAAAGGGCCTCTTACAGAGCCCAGCATACAACAGGCACTCAATAAATGTGTGCTGATGATAGCAGCAGAGACACAATGCCAACACACACCCACCCTCCATCTGCCTTGGACAGCCAGGCATCTGTCTTCTCTGATTTAATCTTTCTTTCCTTCTGCAGAGGGAAGCCTGGAGCCACAGATAGAAGATCTGATTAACCGGATTAATGAGCTTCAGCAAGGTAAACTGGGACTGAGGCTGGCCCTGGACTTTGAATGACTCCCCTTCCTCATCTATAAAATTCGGGCCCCTCCAGGTTGCTTGAAGATAGCGTGCTGTGTCATAATCTAAGAGAGAATAGCCAGGTTAGAGGCTGCATTCACAGTGTCTTCTGTGTTTTGGCTCAGCAAAGAAGAAGTCCAATGAGGAATTGGGAGAAACTCAAGCTCTCTGGGAGACGCTGCACAGGGAATTGGACTCTTGTAAGTGAGACCAAAAGAGGGACCCAGAGATCCCATGACACTGCTGGTGTTCCTGTGCGCACCTCAGAGTCTTTGCATGGGCTGTTCCCTCTGCCTGCAATGCTCTTACGCTATGTATTCTAGATTGCTTCTTGCTATCTCAAGTCATCCTTTAGCTCTTAGCTCAAACTTCACTCAACAGGTCTACCTTGATGGTCCCATATGAAATAGGATGTCATCTTCTCTCTCTGTTACTCTCACTCTCCTGCTTGATGTGCTTCTTCATGGCCTTTATTTTCACCTGACTTAGTACATTTATTTCTAGTCAACTCTTCCCTTGCTATAAACATTGTGCATCCTACAGAGTCATTACACCTTTGGAGTTTACAGGGAATGTGGGCACCCACAGGGAGAAGCTGGATCTGGATGGTCCCCAGTGGGAGATGGGTGCAGGGTGGCAAGAACATACCTCCCCTCTCCTGGGGCTGCACCAGACCTTCTGTATGACCTTGGGCATGCCCTTTGCATGAAGTTGCAGTGGGGGCACATGATATAGCCCCTTCCTTGGAGGCTCAAAGTGTTACTGTGTTTTTCAGTGAATGGAGAGAAAGTACACCTAGAGGAGGTCTTGAGAAAAAAGCAAGGTATTTACAGCTGTTCTGTCTTCATTATTCTACCCCATCACCCCACAAAAGCCAGAAAATCCCACTGAAACCTGAGTCAGGCTGCTTCCCTCTCTGCTCAGACCTCTCCATTGGCTGCCACCTGACCTGAAGTAAACACTAAAGTGCTCTTAGTGCCCTTCAGTGCCCATTACCTCCACCCAAGCCTGGCTCCCCAAGAGCTCTCACATGGCCCTCCTGGTTCCTCCACAGAAGCGCTGAGGATCCTTCAGCTGCACTGCCAAAGGAAGGAAAGCGAGGCTCAGAGGTAAGAGGTCCTGCCCAGCTCTGCCCCACCTTATTCCCCAGCTTGAAGGAGCGAGGAGCAAGAGCTAGGGAAAATAAATCTTGGACACACACTCCTCATTTCCCCCTTTTATAATATACACTAGCTAGACAAAAGATTTCTATGCTCATCTCTGATATTAGATACTGGTGTTAAGATGAACTCACTCATTTAATCATTCCTTGCTACTTTATAAATTTCATCCATTGGTATTATTCTAAGCTTTCCCCTATCGGTTATCCAGACCTTCTGCTTTTATCCAGATCTGTTTATCTATCTGCTCATTTGGGCCTCCCATTCATCCATTTACCCGTTCATCCATTCACCCATTAACCCATTCACCCATTCACCCATCAATACATCTGTCCTACTATCCAACCCTTCATCCGGTCAGCCAGACAGACAGTATCTCTCCAGCCTTCTATATAATCATCTTCCATCCGTTTAATCATTCATTCATCTTCTCTCCATCTTTCCAATTATCTGTTCATCTAACTGTTCATTTCTTCACCCAACCATCCACACAGACATCCTCTATCCTTCTAGTAATCCTTTTATTTCTCCACCCAGCCATCTCCCTCCACTGGTCATTTCTCCAGCCAGCCATCATCTCTTCAGCCAGCCATTCACTCATCCAGTTAACTGTCCAGCCAACCATTCATCCGTCCATCTCTCCATCATTTGAACCTTTACTTAACTGTTCTGTGACCAGAGCTGTCACACCCTGGTGCACCATGATTTTAATTGCGCAGGAAAACCTGATGATGGATAAAGTGTGTGAATGCTTAATTATACCACACACACACACACACACACACACACACACACACACACAACACACACCCACAGAGTCTGATAAGCAGTTTATGTTCATTTATCAACATAATCTTCACAAAGACAATTAAAGGAGTTAAAGGCTAATGTCACCCTCCCATCATTACCACCATTTTACAGATGAGTAAACTAAGACCAGAGAGGTTAAGTAACTTAACCTCTTACACAGCAAAAGGATCACAGTAGAATAGCAGATCCAGGCTTTAAGTCAGGACTTTAGAATCTATGAAGCTAAACTACTGCTCCCCTCACAAAGTGTTCTTCCAACCCAAGCCCCTCCTCTTTGGCTTCAATGTCTCTGCTCACTGCTCAGATCAGGCCCAAATTCATGGTTTGATGGGGGACAGGATGGACAGGATGATAGTCTTGGCAGAGGCCCATAAATTTTCACATTCAGTCAACAGAAGAAAGGGGAATGATGAAGGTTACAAACAAACCCCGAACTCCCACTCCTGCAGAGAATCATGCAGAGAATGATTGAGGTTGTCTTTCCCTTCCTTGGAAGCACATGTTGCAGGAGTTCATGGATCAAATTTTCATCCGTAACTCTCAGATTGAAGAGAGTTGTGAACAGAGGAAGCTGGGGCAACCACTGGGGCCTGGCGTGGCACTGGGTGGGGAGTGGGCGTGGGGTTTGCATCAGGGAGAATTTGTTGGGAGAGGAGCTAGTGGAACCAAGGCTTGGAGTGCCGGAAGCCAATTCCAGCATGTCATAATTTCAAGAGTTTCATCAAAAGGTTGATGAAACTTGGGGACTCAACAGGGTTGAGTCACACATGTAGTCACCTATTGGAAATGGCTGAAGGCATTTCCCCAAACCTGAAAAGGGATTATTGCTTGGCTGCCAGACAGCTAAAAGGCATCTTAATCTACATGTTATTGCCTCCTAGTGGCCAAACACCTGAACAACCGTAGGCTAATTCCCCCATTCTGACAATGCTTGTGTATACCCTTTGAAGTGTATATTTCTGCCTCGCCTCAGGACAAATTGTGTTACTAAAAAGCATGGGGTCCTGGGACGAGGAGACCTATGACCTGAGACCAGAGAACTTAGAACTTAGCTCCTTTAGCTAGGCTCCTCTGACCCCCTAATGCCTTTCAAAATTATGCTTCGTCTCCGGACTCCTATTTAATCTACGCACAGCCTTCTCCAGATTGCTGAACTCTTCTTGATGCTGGGACAAGAACCCCGGCAATATTGGAGGATAAAGCCCAGAAAAGGGCTCCTACCAGGTGGAGCACCAGGCAAAGATCTAAAGGCCTGTGCATGAGGAATCCTCAGAATGAGCCGGGCTGTGTGTCAGTCCTAGTAGGTGTTCTCTCACTCCTGGGTGTTGGCCCCTAGGTCACACATGGAAGAACAGCTGGAGGATTTCATGGGCCAGCACAAGGACCTCTGGGAATTCCAGGTGAGCCATCAGCATTGCCTCCAACCAAAGCCTCTCCTCTCCAGTGTCTCCACTAGCTGCTCAGGTCCACCTGCTCCAGCCCAACTTCACGGCATAATCCTTGACTCTGTTCTTCTTTTCGCCCAGCCACCCAACCCTTCAGCTTTTACCTTTAATCTGGCCACCTCTCACCACCCCCCACTGCAACACATTGCCAAGACTCTCACAGTAACCATTGCTGCCCCTGTTCCCCTCCTGCTCACCTAGAGTGTGCTTACCTTGCAGTGGCAAATGGGGAAAAGCCATGGTCAGATTGTTCCTTCATTCAACCAATGTCCCTGGATGCATCTCACAGCATTCCAGGCAGGAGGAGACAGTGGGGAACCCAAGGGCCAAGTGTCTGCCGGCCCCAGGATGGTTTGGGGCATACCCATACTCTAAATAAGTAAATAAGTAAGACAATCATGTAGCATCAGTTGGGGAAGGCCTCAGCAAGTGACATCCAAATGCAGACACACAGGAAGTAAGGGAGGAAGCTGGCAGGAAGCTGGGTGAAAAGTCTCCTGGCAGAAGGAAAGGCCAATATAAAGGCCCTGAGGCTGAACTCTACCCTGGCCACTTGGGGAAGAGCAAACTGGAGGATGGGCAGGGGAGTGGCAGGACCCAAGGTTTAAGAGGTGCACAGGGACATCGGGAGCCGCCGCAGAAACTGCACTTTGAGTTAATAAATAGTTGAATGGATGAATGACCTAATTCAAGTAAGGACTTACTGAGAGGCGCGAAGGAGCAGGGCGCCAGGACTACAGACCAAAGACAGGCCCCTTCTCTCCAGCAGGTGCTGGAGCGGCGACTGGCCTGGGAGATCCGCGCGCTGCAGAGCAGCAAGGAGCAGCTGCTCACTGAAGGTGGGACTCCCGCGTGGGCTGGGGGACAGGGGCGCGGCGGCGCGTGGGAGTTCCGGCCCCGCCGTGATGCCCACCCTTCACCCTCTGCAGAGAACTTAGCGAGGGCCAAGCTGGAGCAGGTGGAGCAGAGGCTGCGCTCCTCGCCCACGGTCCAGGGCGCCCTGGCAGTGAACGAAGCGTGAGAGGGGAAAGGAGTCCCTGGGCAGGGGACGGGGCAGGGAGGAAGGGAATGGGCCAATGCCTCCCCCAGCACCACCCCTCCCAAAAGGACTGGCTCTGGGCTCGGCTCCTGCCCCTGCGCGCCAGCCTGGGCCTCGTCAGGTCACTGGGTCTCAGTGGTTTCCTCCTGACCCCTCCACTCTAGCTCTCCTCTCCCTCCTCTTCTCTCTCCTCTGACCCTTCTCTGCAGGCTGAAGGTGGAGCTGGAGAAATCCGGGGAGCAAGTCCCCACCCAGACCCAGAGCCCCTCGGGCGACTGGGCCCACAAAGAAGAGGTCGGGAGCCAGGGATGAAGGCGAGGCGGGCAGAGAGGGAGGCAGAGTGGGCGGGGATGTCCCCAGAGTCCCTCGGAGGGAGGGTCTGTGGGGAGCAGGGCACCCCGGTGCTGACGGTGACGGGGCAAAGGCAGCCACGGGCTTGACAGCCTGACTCTGCGCTCCGGCAGCCCGACCCGGAGTCCCTGTGCGCCCGCCACGAGGAGGACCTGGAGCCGCTGGTGGAGCTGGCCCTGTGGTCCCCCTAGGCCAGTGGGACCCACCGATCCCTAGCTTCAAGGCCCGCCGAGAAATAAAGGCAATGATTCAGACGGTCCTTCACCTCCCGGCCTGAGTCTGTGCTCCAGGAGTGGCTGGGGTGGTGG